CACACAGACACTCACATACACACACTCATGAACACACACTCAGACACACAGACACTCACATACACACACTCATGGACACACACTCACAGATACACAGACATAAACATACCCACAGACCCTCAAACACACATAGACGCACACATAGTCTCTGTCTCTCTCTCTCTCTCTCTCTCTCTCTCTCTCTCACACACACACACACACACACACACACACACACACACACACACACAAATACTTTTCTGCCCAGGCTGGCTTCAAACTCCATGTAAGATATCCCAGGCTGACCTTGAACTCCTGATCTTCCTGCTCCCACTTCTACAGTGCTGAGATCATAGTCTTGTGCTACTTACTCAGGACCTGAGGTGCTGGGCCTGGAACCCAGAGCTCGGTGCATTCTGGGAGAGTGCTCTACCAAGGACCCACAGGCCCAGACCCCGCATACAACTTCGGATCAATTTTATCACAACGTTCCAAAGCCAAGGCTGCAGGTCAGTCCTACTTCTCTTACTGTGCACTAGGGACCCCTATAGGTATCAGTGGGGAGCAGCCTCGGGCCCTGAGACTGGGTCACATACCTGGCAGTGAAGTTGTCCTCTGAGTTGTCCCAGTGGTGCTGCTGTTGGAGTTCAATGTCCTGTGGAATGGTAGCAGGGGCAGACACAGGGACAGACAGAGGGAGGGAGACAGACAAGACACACAGAGAGACAGCCAGTTGTAGCAGGGTTCCACACAGATGTCACCCCAATTGTGATGGGCTGGTAAGACAAGGGTGACTGGTGGGCACCATGGGAGCTTATCTATCAGCTGTCCAGCCCCACTATGTTCTATGTCATAAGCGATACCTGTCCTAGTTGTCCCCCATGAGCTGCGACTGTTTTCCTCCTCACTGACATTTAATAATCGCAAGGTGTTGCTTGAAGTGTAGGCTTGGCTGAGTCCTGCCTACCAGGGTGATGTTATGTAGATTCACCATGTGTTCTTAGGTAGTACAGGCAAGCCCCGGCTCCTGTCATGATGGGTGCCAGGGTGACAAATGGAGTCCACCTGGTCCCCTGCTGGTACCTAGCCCTCTGCCTAAGCTTTTTAAGATAACATGGCTCTCAACATTCCTGTGTGTGGTGCTTCTCAGCCTTTCCTTGAGACAGGGCACGTGTAGGTGGTGGCTGCCTGTCTTGCTCAAGGAAGGGAAGCCAAGGCCCATGTAGGGAGGGAGAAGGGAGGTTCATCTTTTCAGAGCACGCAGCAACACTGGCATAGAGGGCTGAGCACCGTGGGCCGTTCTCATCACCCAGTCCTTGAGAGGTCAGGGCAGGATGATACATGCCAAGGTTGCCCTGGCCTAGAGAATGACATCATGTCTCACTAACACAAGGCACATACCAGTTTGTACTTAGAGTTGCCATCAAACGTGTTGCCAAACTCACGCAAGTCTGCCTTAAACCCCAGGGCATGGGGGTTGCTGACCATGACCTGAAACAGAGTGCACAGATACTTGTCCTCCAGGCGACAGACACTAGGGGGATCCCTGCATACCCTCAGCAAACAGAAGCTGTTTCTGTGTACAAGCTCCTACATGCAGCATAGAATATCTGCCTGTCAGCTACAGCCTTAGAACTCAAGGTCACTGAGCTGTGAGCCACAGCAGAATGGCAGGGGCAAGGAGGGAGAATGGGAGTATGCTGGAAGAACCCTGACTGGGAGCAGGAAGAGACAAAAAACTGAGATGGGGGAAATGATGGAGGAGATGGAGGAGATGGAGGAGGAGATGGAGGAGGAGATGGAGGAGGAGATGGAGGAGG